GCCAAGACTGAACAAGAGGTCTTGCAAGAAATGATCGTAAACACATTCACATCCTTTTCGTGCCAACTTTGACGAGACTGATTGATACATTTGATTAAAACAGAACACTGTATTAAAATATGCTTCCTTCCAATTGACTGACTCTATCAATTTGCTTTCTTTTAATTCCGTGGGCGTTTCGAAGCCAAGTGCGTAATTTTTATTCTCTTCCTTCTTATCCCACGGCATCCTTTCCTTGTACAGTGTCTCCCATATTTCATCCATTGAGATATCACGAGTCACTGGTGTACCATCCAACTGAAGTACATCAACTGCTGGTAGAAGGAGAAGTAGCTTTACTCGTATTGAACGAGGCAATAAGGCTAAACTAGAGATAGTTATGTCCTCTCTCGGTAGGCTTTCCCAAAACAAGTGGCCTATTATGAACAACATGCATTGGAGGTGAAGAGGAGCTGGATGGGTCATTACACCGTTTTTTAGACCTTCCCAATAAAAAATGACTTCATTTTCACCATCAGTGGTGTCACCAGTCTCCGATGGAATATCTTGTTCCTCCTCTTCTTCACTGGTCTCGGGAGAAACTTCCTCTCTCGCCCTTTCTTCTTGTTCTTCCATTCGATTGCTCTGCTGAATGCTGTCCCAAAATCAAAGAGAAAAACAGAGAAGTTGACTTGAAGTTCCTTTCCTTTAGGGTGGGGTTGATGATGATTAATTACAATGTAAACCAAAGATAAAACATTTTTAAAAATTAAAAACAAGATTAGTTTATAAATAAAAAAGGCATGGATAATAGATACATGCATTAAATGAAATAACACAACACTATTAGTTACAATACTGTAAAGATGCATACTGAAGCAGTTTCATTGGCATTTAAAACTCCAAACCAATCCTTTAGTAGTAACTGACTCTCTGATACTGTCCACACGCCAGTAGTACATCACACCAGGTTTAAGTGACCCTGGATCAAATATAATTAATTTAATTTAATTAATTTTGTTCTAATTTAAGAGCTGGTAATTATAGTATTGAACCTGCTGATTATCTAGATACTTATGGACACAGCAAGAATGATGCAGAGAAGATGGTCCTTGATGCTAATGGTGCCAATCAAGGCATGCTATATACCTGCTCGATACGCTGCCCTCCTCTCTATGGAGAGAATGATACCAGTTTGATACCATCAGCTGCTTGGGCAAGCAATAGATTAATGGGGTATTACCCACGTATTGGCAGTCCCTCCGTTAAAATGACTGTGATGTATGTTGAGAATGCTGCTCATGCCTTGCTCTGTGCTGCTAAGAGACTAATGGACAAAAGGACAAGGAGTTTTGTTGGTGGTAAATATTATTACGTGACCGACGACACGCCTCAGACGAACTACAGTGATTTCTTTGGTCAATTTTTGAGTCAGATTGGCTATAACGTGAAACTTGGGATTAGGATTCCAATCAAGCTCATCACTTTATGGCTTTATCTCATTCTCGTTGGACTCGTTTTCTTAATGATATTCTTTGATTTTCGTAACATTGCTGCCCTCATTTTAAAGTACCAGCACCAAGCAAAGATACTCTCTATCAGCCACACTGTCTCTCGAGATAAAGCAAAGAGAGAACTTAATTACAAGCCTATTGTTGCTCCTGATCTTTCCTTTCAAAAATCTGTCGTTTACTACGCAAAGGCATGCCACAGATGAATGACTGTTGAATTATTATAATTTTAAGTTGTGATTTCTCCCCTTTCTTGTCGATTATACATGTATGTATTGTATCAATTTTTATGAATTTAATTTGAATTATGAACAATTATAATTTTCTATTAGTCACGTGTCGTAATTATGACGTCATGTCATGATGATTCATAACTCTATTCATAACAAAATCCTTCAACTTGAGCTCAAAAGCTTTTCCTTCTTTTCAGCCAGTGGTCCTAGGGTAGAAAGATATATTGTATATAAATTTCTGTCACATTTTCCTCCTCTTCCACGCTTCCTTCAATGGCTGCCTCCACCGACAAGGACGATAGAGGCAAAGGTACCCCGTCAATGGAGGAAAGGAGCTTTGAGTGTAACATTTGCTTTGATACAGCGACAAATGCCGTCGTCAGTATGTGTGGACATCTCTTCTGGTAAGCTATCGTGTTTAAAAAAGTATTTGAATTATTATCTCTCGTTTACTCCTCATAGCTGGCCATGTATTCACACAGTAAGTTATAATAAGAGCCTTTTTGTATTAGACTGTGTATTTGATATGTCCTCTGTCACTAATAGTGGATGGAGGCTCGTCCACAAGACACTCCTACCTGTCCGGTGTGTAAATCCGTCATAGACAAAGAAAAGCTTATTCCGCTGTATGGGCGTGGCTCTGATCAAAAGGATCCTCGGTACAAAATGCCGTAACAATACATGTACAATTATAATAATGAAAGAGAAAGTGAAAATGAGCTACATATCACTTAGTAGCAAGAAAACTAAGCTAACATTTTTGTTTCTTTTCCCTTTAGAGAGTCCCTTCCTCCGAGACCTGCTGGACAAAGAGAGGAAGCACCTGAAGATAATAACAATACAGTAAGCCACGTTCTATTTAATGCCCTTACTTGTTCTATTTAATGCCCACCCTACCTAGGGCTATTTTGGTGATGGCATGTTTAATGGGATCAACGTCTCTTTTGGTGTCGGGGGATTCCCTTTTGGATTTGGACTAGGAGTAAGTGAAACATTATTATTATTATTATTATTAAGAAACTTTTATTTTTTGTGTTTCCCTTAGCCTGCATTCACCATACAGACTGGTCGTATGGGAGGACAGCATCACAATGTCAACATTGGTCATCGTGGTAACAGAATGCATCATGGAAGAAGAGGAGGCCAAGAAGAGGAACAGAGAAAGACAATGGCAAGATTATTGTTGACTTTTGCCATCCTTTTTATCATTATGATCATCTTCACATAATTACTACATGAATTCCCTCTCTCTCTCTCTCCCTCTTTATTCTTATTATAATATATTAATACTGTATTATTATTACTATTGTTATATTTCTATAGTATAATGTTACTTTGTGTCTGATTATTCCATTCAAACTTGTTCTTTACATTGAATAAGTGCTAACAGTCAACACTTATGGCTGTATGGCAGTCCTTTTTTATAAAAAATGGTATCCTTGTTATGAATTGTGTTATAGAGAGCACTTTATTTAAAAATGGAAGGGATGAGCCTTATGGCTGGTTTCCATTGCGTACAACAGACAACACTGGAGATAGAAATCAGGTCTATCTCTACAACAATTGTAAGCTAAAAACAGAGTACATACAACAGCTGCAACTGCATGGAAACCAGGCTTTAATAAGCAAGGCATTATTATATATTATAGGTTTGATGTACATTTAATAGATAGGACAAATGACCATACTCTTGGTAATACCAATGGCAATGTTTGACTTAGAAGCATCACTTTGAAGTGGCAGGACAGAATGCTTTTGCTTTTCTAAGCAATAAACTTTAAATAATTTTATGTGAATGATAAAAATTATTCAAAAATAAATCAAATATAAAAGAAGGGAAATAGAAAGAGTATAAACTAATGCAATATTGATGATTTAATTATAGTTTTTGTCCAACTCAATTTCGATTGTCATTTCTGACAATATGTCTTCAAATCCAAGCTCTTTCTTACCATTAGGACATTTAATGACTATTTTCTTTAGTTTCTCCACTTCAAGGCTCCTCCATAAACTAAGCATAGCTACAGCAAGATCTTTAGTGAAATAATCTTCATTAAGAGCTAATCTAAAATATGGTGCCTTGGAAGAAGAGAGCCTTTTGAAAAGTGAACCAAAGAGTGATAGAGCATTATTCCAAGAGCTGAGATGATAATTGTACCATCCAAAACTTGTTAGTGATCCTTTGATACCAGACAGTGCACATAGAAACCTGTCAAAAGTATCTTGATTGTCGTCATCAATACGAACGGATAGTATCCACTCATTTGCAGTCACAATACGAAACAGTGAGCAAATATCACTGATGCTATCTTGAGTAATCATCTCATAAAGAAATAATGTGAATGAATCAACTTTGATTGACTGGAGATTAGCAAATGAAGATACAATGTTCAAATTATCATGCTCCAGCTTCAGCGATTTCAAAACAAGATGCTGAGGAAGAAATGAGACAAGATTAGATGAAAGATTGCAGTTTTGCAAATTAAGGGATTTAGATGAAGCTTGCTCAGAATTGACAGGAAGAGGATCAGGCAGTGGATCAAACTGAGGACAAGAGAGGGACAGGATAACATTCACTGGATAAGGAGAAGAGAAGAAATGACTGAAAAGAGTACATACTATGTCAAACGAAACCTGACTACGAAAATAATAACTATTAAAAACCAACTCCCTGAAAGTGGGTCGATACAATAGCTCCCCTATATTACGAAAGATTTCACTATCTATGAAAATACATTTCCCAAAATCATAATCTGATGACATGATAAGTGTAAACGCCTCCAGCTCTTGATGGCGTTGGAGGACCTGATTAAGCAGAAGTGGGAGAGATTTAATGAGGTTCACATACTTGACACGGTTGTAAGGAAAGTTCCCAGTTGTTTTAATGACATTAGCTGACTCTTTGTCCAGCTCAAATTGTAACTCAAACTTCTTTAAATTTGATTCAGGAGAGCTATTCAGGTGAGGTAGGACTAGGTCAAAGTTATCCTGTACCATAGCACTCTTTATGGAGCACTTGTTCTGAACGAATATAATGTCTAATGCACTTTCTAAGCATTTCCTAGTCTTTAGTTTATCATGTACATAATACTTAGCAGACCGGTAGACACTAATTGACTCGACTGAGAAAAGACACTTTGAGATGTCTTTAAGGCACCTTTCATCGTCAAAGAATATAATCATCTCACTTAAATGAACTGGGGACAGTATTACATGCTTAAGAGAGATTTCGTACTTTGCCATTGCCAATACCACGTCCCAAATTGGATATTCACGTCCGCCGTGATATCTTCTTGGTGACACAGCTGGATTAGAAAATTTGCTGCCATGTCTCACTGGAGTGAGAGTGCTACACGTTGGAACACACCTGGCAACGTAATGAAGGCTGAGGGTTTTCTTTTTGTCAAAGCATTCGTATAAATCCGTAGTATTTGGGCCAAGACTGAACAAGAGGTCTTGCAAGAAATGATCGTAAACACATTCACATCCTTTTCGTGCCAACTTTGACGAGACTGACTGATACATTTGGTTAAAACAGAATGCTGTATTGAAATATGCTTCCTTCCAATTGACTGACTCTATCAATTTGCTTTCTTTTAATTCCGTGGGCGTTTCGAAACCAAGTGCATAATTTTTATTCTCTTCCTTCTTATCCCACGGCATCCTTTCCCTGTACAATGTCTCCCATATTTCATCCATTGAGATATCACGAGTCACTGGTGTACCATCCAACTGAAGTACATCAACTGCTGGTAGAAGGAGAAGTAGCTTTACTCGTATTGAACGAGGCAATAAGGCTAAACTAGGGATAGTTATGTCCTCTCTCGGTAGGCTTTCCCAAAACAAGTGACCAATGATGAACAGCATGCATTGGAGGCGAAGAGGAGCTGGGTGGGTCATTACACCGTTTTTTAGACTTTCCCAATAAAAAATGACTTCATTTTCACCATCAGTGGTGTCACCAGGCTCCGATGGAATATCTTCTTCCTCCTCCTCTTCACTGGTCTCGGGAGAAACTTCCTCTCTCGCCCTTTCTTCTTGTTCTTCCATTTGATTGCTCTGCTGAATGCTGTCCCAAAATCAAAGAGAAAAACAGAGAAGTTGACTTGAAGTCGAGCTTGAAGTTCCTTTAGGGTGGGGTTGATGATGATTAATTGAATTACAATGTACATGTACATGTTTTAAAAACCAAAGATAAAACATTAAAAACAAGATTAAATTATAAATAAAAAAGGCATGGATAATAGATACATGCATTAAATGAAATAACACAACACTATTAATTACAATACTGTAGAGATGCATACTGAAGACTGAAGCAGTTTCATTGGCATTTAAAACTCCAAACCGATCCTTTAGTAGTAACTGACTCTCTGATGTTATCCACACGCCAGTAGTACATCACACCAGGTTTAAGTGACCCTGGATCAAATATATTAGCTGGACTGGTCATAGTAGCTTTGTACTCTGCTGATGATGCTGTAGCAGATTCCACTGATGACTCAGAAATACCAAGATACACATTGTGCTTCTCTGCACTGTAGCCTGATAGCCACATTAAGTGTGCATTGCATTTAGCTGTATTGGTCCCATCTGGTGGTATAGGCATGCTACTACCAGTGTCCTGACGTCCTGGTATCCAGTAGACTCCTCCGTGATCCATTGATTCCTTACCGTATGGTCCAACACCTTGTACTACCAAGTCAGAGTTTGGCTGTGGACGAAAATCGAGATTATCAGGATCACGCAGGAAATTTCGAACATCACCTTTAACATTATCATCATACTGACCTGGTACGTCATACTGGCACTGTGGTGTTTTGGTAGAGCTACAAGCTCCATTCTGTAAAATGTTCCCTTTTGTTACAGTGTGGCTGTTCTCTCCTTTCGCTCCATCCCCTGGGTACCCAAATAGACACAGATCAAAGTAATTCTCGTTATCAAATGCTAAGTTGTTGTAGCAGTGATGATCATCGCCTTTCAGTCGTATCCCACCTGTTGTCCATACCACATTATACCTCATAGTTCCATTATAGCCCCAGGTTGCATTATTTTTATCAATTCTATCAAATCTCAGGCCCCACTTCATTGTGTCATAGCACCAGTTGTACTCTAGAACAGTTCCATTCTGAGAATTGATACCAGTTTGAACATGGGCCCCATCGTTTTGCAAATATTTGAGATCATAAAAGAGATTGAGACTCACGTCCGATCCGACGGATAATCCCATTTCTCTGTCAGGTAAATTCCCAGCTCCTGGAGAAAACCCAACACTAGGGCCATTACTGTGTACAGTATTGCGTACAAATCTATCTCTGACTCCTCTTGATTGGAACACTTCCCCATCTCCCACGCACGTAAAGTCGTTGTATCGCCACATGTTGTTTTCAAACAACCCATCTGCTCCCCTGTAGCTTATACTTTGACCGTCAGCGTATTCAAAAGTGCAATTAAAGACAGTGAAGTTTCCAGCATTCTCAATAAGATCTCCATTGTAATAGAGAGTTGTTGTATTGGGGACTGTAGTTGATCCCAATGCCCTCTGACTGTAAGAAGGATACGAGAAATAGCAAGACTCAAGTTTAATATTATGAACATCTTTGACTTTTGATTCACCTTTAACGTATACTGTAGTGGCAAAGAAGTTTAATCCAGATAAAGTAATATGAGACGATCCATTATTGATCGTAAATGCAAATGTTGATACTTTACCACGAATGTCATGTTTATTGGGATCCTCTGTTGTATAGTTCAGCCATACATACACTTTCTTCTCAACTGGGTCAAAATACCATTCTGAAGGGGCATCGAGAAACTCTAGCTTGTCCTCTAAAAAGTATCTGCAATTACGAGGAACAAAATGAACTGCTTCTGGCTTATCAGGAAGAATGTAGGTAAAAGAGGCATTGCCAGTGGTGTGGTTTGTGACTATTCCAGCCCACGTCAACCATTGACCAATGTTAAGAATAGCTATTGCTCCTGTAGCATTGATACCAGATTTTGCCAAGTTTTGAGTTCCATTGTCAATCATGACTCCAGTGCTTTCTTTTAGATTATACGTCGAATTAGTAGAAGAGAATCCCCACTTGGTATAATCAAAGACTGATTTATCATACCAGAAAGCATTTGGCCACCGTGCATTGATGAACATCTCACCATCAACAAACAACTGCCAGATGTCAAAACCAATTTTAAGAGAGTAGATCTCATTGCTGTACATCTCCCAGTTTCCTTTGATGCTTGCAGTTCCATCAAACACCACTCTTTCGCCAGGATAAGACTGAAACACAATAGGCTCGTCAGCTTTTCCTACCAAACCGCTAATAACAACTGACTCAGTGTACGTGCCACCTCTGATTATACACTTGTCTCCTGGTTGGAGAAACTGCAGGGCTGTGTTGACTTCCTTCCAAGGCTTCTCAAGTGTCCCTGGATTGTCGTCTGAGCCATCATTGACTGAGACATAATATTCCTTAGCAGAAATAGACTGGAAAAGGAGAAATAAAACCAACAGGACGATTGAAAATGGTTGCAACAAGGTAGCCATGATAATGATGAATGCTTTTTGCAATTCAGCTATAGCTCTAGCCCCACCCTTATGAATACCATTGTAAATTTTATTGTTGTACCATAGTGTATCAAAAATATAAATAATGCATAGAAAATCCAATTTGTCTCCACTTCTATTCATGATTGTATCTTGAAAGGTGAAAGGTCATAGGAAGGAGTTTCACCCAAGGCCAGTTCACTCAATATCTTCCCAACAATTGGAGCTAACTTAAAACCATGACCTGTAGGTGAGTACATACATTATGATACTTTAAAATAATATTAGGTGGTCTAATACAATGAACTGACCTGAAAATCCTGCACCAATTATAATGTTTGGATTATTTGGATGGTAATCGAGATAAGGATCACCAGAAGGCTACACAAAAGAGAGAGAGGGGGGGCAATTATTCAATGCTTTAATCCATCATTTCATAAATAAAAGAATAGTCCTTTAAAATTTTTGTTTTATAAAGGATTTTGAAGGTACAATTTATGATAACTCACTGTCTTTGTGTACATGCACTCCTCCACAATGGCAGGGCTTGAGTAGTCAAGATCTTTAAATGAATGAGCCTCCAGAAACTCTGAGATTATTTTAGACGCCTCAGGACGAGGAGTTAGAAAGTCCCTACAATCAGGATCAACCTCTGTCCCCTTACTAGTATTGTGAAAAGAAATCTACAAGAAAGAGACAAAAAAAGAATAAAATAAATTGACATTACAAATGATGTAGTTTGATTATATTTTTGTAGCATATTACTTTCATCAATCCAGGATATTCTAGTACTGGCAGTCCATATAAAAGTCCAGTAGAAAGAACGCAAGCAAATATTGGAAAATTCCCGACTGCAAAGGACTCTGGTTTTAATGTCTTCCAATAAAAATGTTCAACTTTCAATATCTACAATGAAGGAAGGAAATAAAGTTACATCAGTATATATTGCATAAAATAAATACCTTTAGAGGTAGTTCAATTCCAGTATATTGCAGTACTTTGTTAGTCCATGGTCCAGTGGTTAGTATCAGTTTCTTAGTATTGAACTGAGTCCCACTGCCAGTGAGTACAGTGATGATATCATCATCATTATTGATTATACCAGTCACTTGATGATTGTCAAGCAACTCACCACCATTTTGTATGAATAAATCCTAAAAGACAGAGAGAGAGAGAGAGAGAGTATGTGGAGAGAGAGAGAGAGAGAGAAAAAAAGAAAGAGAAAGAGAGGGGGGGAGAGAGGGGAGAGAGAGAGAGAGAGAAAAAGAAAGAGAGAGAGGGGGAGAGAGAAATACATATATA